TTCCTACCTCAAAGAGTACCCTGCATTTCTACAGTCCAGGTGCCTGGGCTCACCTAAAGCCCAGCCACTGAATCCTCTGCTTCCCTGCATGTGAGAGACATCAGAAATGCCGAAGGCATTGTGTGGGGAGCCTTGCACATCCCTTGTACAATCCCCAAACCTCTGCAGCAGGGCCACATGCCCTGGGCAGGCTAAGGCGATGCTCCAGCCTGAGCTGAAACAAGGGCAGAAGAAGGGAGGAACAGAGAAGGAAGGGTCCACACAGACACTGAAAGGTGTCAGGGGGAGCAGAGCAAGAAGGGATGGGGTTTGGGGATGGAGGGACCGTTCCTGCACCAGACCAGCATGCAGCGAGCTCAGCCAGCCCCAGGAGCCCTTTAGGAGGAAGAGCCCAAGATCCTTCCTCAGGTGCAGGCTCTCACTCCAGGGACAGCTCCGCGCTTTCGAGCAGGCTTTGAAGCCACCCTGCTCTATCGCAGACCTTCCCTGCCCTCTAGTGGGAGAATCTTGAATGTGGACAAGCGTTAGGAGAGCCTCTTCCTCCTCCTTCTCCCTCCCGCCATGCAGCACCCTACCGCGTCTTGCGGAGGTAAAGCAAAGCACGCTGCCTCAGCTTGGGAACGCAGCTCTCTGGGATGGGAAACGGGTTCAACGAGCACACCTGGGAATTCGGGGGAGCAGAGACACATCACTCCCAGCAGTGGAGCAGGGCTTCTTGAAGCTACCTTAACCTTTGCTTTCAGGGAGACCTGAGCCCTTGCTCAAGGAAAGCAGATGCTGTGCTCAGTGACACAGGGCTGCTGGGATGGTGTGGAGGGAGATCAGACCTCACTGTGTACAAGGAAAATCCTGGGCAAGCTCTGCAGACTTTCCCAGAAGACCAGAGCCTGGACCTGAAGCATGATATCTTCACGGAGTTTGCATTTCCCTCTGAAATGAGGCTTGAAAGCTCTCTGGTACACAGCTTAATGCCCACCTCATAGGCAAGCTGCAGGCTGGAAAGCAATTTCTTGCCAGTGGAAGCACAACTGCACCGACCTCTCACTGCAGGGACTGAGCCATGCCATGGAGGTGGAGTCAGGCCTACGATTGGAAAGATTCACTGTAGGCAAAGAGCAAAAAACTCTCCTCTGTCAATAAACAAAATAAACTTCCTTGCAAGGGACAGACTTCACTGGGGTTGCACAGGTTCTTTGCTAGGAGCTCTGGTAGTGATCATACAATGCATTCCTAAAGAGTGCTGTGAGGTTGTAGGGTTACCCTGGCTCCTCAAGCCACACTTGGTCATGCACCATCCCACACTGTGCTGCAGGACCCTGCCTCTGACCCCGTTCTGTTGCAGCCACCCTTCTGTGCTCTCCGAGCAGAACTGTGATTTTTAAATCTGTGCCCCATCTCTGCTATTTATGAGCCAATAAACTCATAAACCACAGCTGGGAGCACTGCACATCAAACCCTGGTTTGTACAGACATCTAGCGGTCCCTGCTCGAACTTCACCTGCACCACGTTATGGTGCAGGACCAGCACCAGAATTTATTTTATTGTTAAAGTAAAACCAAAGCACAGCCCCTGGGACTGCAAAACGGAAAGTAGCACTTCCTGAGCTGCCTCAAAAGTCCCTCACCTCGGCTCTCCCACAGCAGCCTGTGCTGTGGGGACGTGCCACGGGCACTGCTGTGTCCTGCAGGGATGTGCTGCGGGCACCAGCGTGCATCTCTGGTGGGAAAAAAAGCCATCACTGTGACTTTTGGCAGCCATACCCTGCCAGGGTGAAGGGGCAATGCTGGATGTGCATGGAGCAAGGTGTCTTTGAACAGACTGTGCTGAATAACAGCACATCTCTCTTCAGAGCAGTTTATGCATTGCCCTGTCAGATACTTTGGAGTTTCCATCACAGCCAGTTTCAGCCTTAATTTGTGTTTCTATCCTGCCACTTTGAAATAAGAATCATCTGTCTCCAGCCCCAGAGCACCATCAAGATCAACTCGGTGTTATTTCAGAACCAGGATGGTAGGGGAGTGGATGGGAGTGACTGTGGTGTCACACCTGTCAAGGTTCAGCCGGTACAATCAGATGGCCCTGGGTCACCACATCCAGACATGCAGGGGGGACAGGAGAAACCCTGACTGGTCACTGCTTTGCTGAACACAGAAATCAGATGGGGGAAAAATCAAGTGTCACAAAGTATCAGGACTGCCTTGGCAGCAGTGTATGTGCCAGACTCTGCACCCATAAAATGCCTTGCTCTTGTTTTTCTGAGGTTCCAGTTTAAAGCAAACAGTCCCCAAATGGCACGAGACAGTTATCCTATTGCTCTGGCAGGCCCTTCTCCTCCTAACCTGCCTGCTCTGGGCTTCCCCCATCATGCTCACACTGGGGCATCCTTGTCTTGCTCTGCACAGAACACGGTTGCTCCATCCCACGTGTGACACTGTGCTACACACGGCTGCCACGGAGGAAGGGGTTGGAGAGCAGAGAAGAAGAGCAGGCAGCCTCAAAGGGCAACCCAGCACGAGGCAGGAAAGAGAAAAGCCACCCCCAGGAGGAGTCCCCGCTTGCACCATGCAAAGGTAACCCAGTCCCAGGCTGCAGCTGAGGAGCTTGGCTTTTTGATCTCCAGAGCGCATTTGAATTTGAGGAGGTGGGGATGCCTCTGGAGCTGCTGCAAGCAGCCATTTGAGAGGTGTCCCACCACCTCTAAAGCTAAGGAGGAGCCACCATTATCAACTGATTATCTCGCAGTTTCCTGGAGGGGTGACGGTCTGAGTCACTTGGCAGTGGGAGGGTGGTTTCTTCATGTGCTTACTGGAGCAGCTGAAATGCGTGGGCAGGGTAAAAACAATGCAGATGTAAGTGATTATGGGGGCAGGCAGAATCTCCAGGAGCATGGTATTTTTCCCTACTTGTTGGAATATGTCTAACATTTATCACATCAGTGTGTCAAGAAGCCATTTGCACCTGTCCTCCCCCGTGCCACGGCTGGTAAACAAGCACAGTGTCTGTATCCCAGAGTTCAGGGCCCTTTGGTCTACTCCATGCCATGCTGCTCTACCATTTGCATTTCTCCTCTGCCTGCACACATCTTTATTGCCAGTTACCACACGGGGAGAGAAAAGGGCCATATCTCCTTTTGGTCACAGCTCTCCAACTTGCTCCCACACACTCACAGACAAGGACGTCCTCATCAGCCCTGCCTCACTCTCTGTGGCTGCCAAAAACAAACCACATAGGATGGGCAAAACACCTTCCCAATGTAGCTGCAGTTGTTACATACAAATCTCTATCCTTCCAAAGTTACCAATGCACCTTTCATCTCACCCAGAATAAAACCATCTGTGTAACAACAAAGCTCAATGCATGAGAGAAATAACAAAGACTGTGCTCCATTGCACTGGCCACCCACACCACTCCTCTGCCATACCCACCGCCTATGCACCCAGGCTGAGAGGTAGCATTTCCATCAGGAGTAACGCTCAGAGAGTTACTATTCTGCAAATAAACACACTGAAGTCAAAAACATGGTGTAAAACCTCAGGGGAAAAGGCATCATGGGAGCATTCTAGTCCTAACAACAGAGTTCCTGGTATCACAAATGTCTTCTATCTTTGGAGATGATTTGCAAGGAGTTTGAAAAATCAGTACCATTCTGGCTGGTGAAGGGAAAAGATACAGACAAGGTGTTCCAACAAGTATTTAAGTGGGCTGTCTCCTGTTAACAGGGCAATGGGTAAACACTATGTTGCCCCAGACCTGGTGACAAACATGCATCCCGTGGTAAGGATGAGTAACCCAGTACAGTTGCAATGCAAAGACAAAAGGGTTTCCGAAAGAAAAAGTAAACTAGCTTTGCCGGGAATGTGTTTCACTATGCCTGTTGCATCACCACTTTCTCTGGAAGACCCAAGGCTTGAGGCTAATACAGAACCAGACATCACACTTGCACTGCACCTATCAGCAAGACAAAGTCACTGCTCGTGGTGGAGCAGGCAGGAGCAAGAGGCATGAGCCACCAAAGCTGCATGTCACTCAGAGATGGTATTTTTCCTACTTTAAAAGAAGCTCAATTCAAACAGGAGAAACGACAACCCCGAGACAAAACTCTGGTTGCACAGCCACATCTCACAAGGGGTATAAGTCACTTCAGCATAGATGAGAAATTGAGACATTAAGGGATAGACAGAGCACTTCAAGGTAAGAGGAATGAGCCTTCCTCACCCAAAACCTTTCAAACACCTGCACAGGAACCTATGGAAGGAGGGCTTCCACCCTACAGCCTCACTCATCAACCACATTTCACATCGGTGCTACATCAAGAGGGCCTCACTCTAAGCACAGCTTTGAAGTCCCTTACAGGAAGATGCTCAGCTTTGACATTTAAACCATGGCAAAGAGGAGAACATTCAGGTTACTAACATGATTAAAGTAAGAGTTTTGCATTTCATTTACCTAGCACAGCTAATCCAAAACCTCCTAGTTTCTTTAACATGTTTCAGACCCACTGCAGAGAGAAGGCTGGAAATACTCTCAGCTGAGGCATAACAGGGCAAAATGACAAGGTGTGGACTGAGGTTAAAAAAAAAATCTTTATACAAGGACTGTTGCCATCTAATTCTGGAGCACCAACATCCATTCATTCTGAATCCTGCTGCTACTCTGTTTTTGGTACAGGCTACTGAAATACAGAGGCATTTGAGTGTGGGTAGAGCTGTTCTCTGATGTAGTGGTGTGGAAAAGGGCTTTTTTTTAATGTCTAATGGAAATACCTACTGGCATTGGGACTGAGAGTACTTTATCTCACCAAATCAGCTTTCAGAGGGGAAGCAAGCGCACCACACTGCTTCTGATCAAACAGTGCCTGAGAGAGCTTGAGACAAACCACCTAGAGATGTCCCCCAACACCACTCCTAGGATCCAAGCCATGCCAGGCAAGGCAGCCAACCTGGCCACAGAACAGGGCCCCCTCCCTGCCACAAAGCTGCAAGGTCTCTCTCCCCCTTACCTTGCACAGCAGAGCCTGCTCCGCTCCAGCACATCCCAGTCTGCACCATTGGATTACAGCAGAAGAGCTGGGAGTTTTCCAGTGAGGTGCCTACACTACTGGGCAGCCCCGCACACAAGTGTAGTCACTTAAGTCATTACATGTCCAGGAGCAGCCTGGGGGGAAGCAGGAAGAGAGGCCAGGTCAGGTAAAATCAAGACTGAAATCACAGGTGGTTTCCTTTCTTGTAAACACTTTTATCCTTCTGCAGCTGCTGGTTAGCTGAGTTTCACTCTCTCCCCTTTGCATTTTCCTGTGCAACAAACATGGGCAGGATTCACATCTGGGTCACTGGCCACAGAAGAATATTTTTGTGACTGCAATCCCAGAGGTTTCAGAGGCACCCACTCCTGTGGGGATGCGTGGGGAGGCCTGTAAATGGTGATGTGGAGCTGCACTTTAGCAAAGGTCACAGAGGCACCTCTCTCACTACATTCATAACTAGGCATAGTTATGCATAGGCAGCATGGAGGAGATTTTCAGAGCTGTGGGGCACAAATCTCTCTGCAGGCCAACAATCAGATATCCTTGTTGAAGGGAATTCTGCTGTCTTCAGCATTTGTCCAGCCTCTGTACTACTACCTGTCCCAAAGCTCAGACATGGTTCTACACAGCACCAGCTCCTGGGGCAGACCAGAAGCCCCAGCCTCTGCCTAATCTCTGGCACTGCCCAGTAACAGATAGCTGGTGCATTATGAAGAACCAGGCTCCCCCTTTTGGAGTGCATTATCAGCACCCAGATATTAGTTAGCACAAAATGTAAGTCACCAATTATGCCTTAGGTCTCCATGGGGACAATAGACTTTAGGATTTAAAGCATGAAGGTAAAAGAGCACAAAACCTCACCTCCTCTCCAGCGCAGAATAACTAAACCAGCTCCCACCCCCTGTGCCTTGCTTTAAATACAATTAGGATTGTTAACCTTTGGCTGAAACTTGTTCTCCACACAGGTGTGAGGACACCTCCAGTCAGAATTCTGCAGTTTAATCATGCCTCCCTGTGCAAACCAGGTGTTTTGTTTTTCACCCACTTAGGCTGTTTTTCACCTGTGGATCTCAGGCCTTTCTCCAGCAAGAGAAAGAGCTTTCTGTATCTCTCTTTCCCAAAACAGCAGTTACAATCCAGAACTGAATTGCTCCTCGGAGTCCTTAAACAATATAGTTTAAGCTGCAGTCTCACTACGAGGTAGATGCTGCAGAAGCTGGTTAAGAGGTAGGAGGGATGAAAGTCACCCGCTGCCTTCTTTGCTCTTTGCTTCTCTTTCTGCCTGCTCCAGCTCAAAGACACTTCTGCTCCCTCCCACAGATGAGCCACGAAGAATTGCTTGCCAAGGCCAAGCCTAGCTGCTTTTAGGTGTATTTTGCTGTCTCTTTAGCAATAGGCTAGAACCCTTAGGGCCTGCAGACTCAGGTTGAAATTAAAAGCACCTGCAAGCCTAGCCTGCAGAGAACACCTGTGAGCCATTCAGACCACACAGACACCTTCAGCTCCTCCCTGTTGACTGCTTTCCCACTATTTGCTTGGCTGTGACATTAGCTCTTTGGGCACTGTAATACCTACCGTCACATGTCACTTGTGTGCTCCCAGTCTCTGTAATCTCCTTCTCTTCCAAGGATTCAAAGTTAGCACATAGTTTCTGAGAAACCTCTTTCAGACTCTTAGATATGAGGCCCCTAGGCAAGGTCAGAAATCGGAGAAAATCTTATTACTGCATGTGTATTTTTTCCTCTCACCTTTTTCCAGTTTTCACAGCAGGCCCAGGTTACCCAAAAATTGTCTTTTCCAAACCTATGAGAGTTCTCTTGACTTCATTTAGGACATTATTTATTTAGTTAGTTATTGTGTGCTTAGCAATGAATGCAACAGTGACCCATCCCTTGGCAAGGTTAGGTTACCAAAGACAGAGCAAGAGCCATGAAAGGCTGCAAACTAGGTCCAGTGAAGAGGTATCGTGGGATGCCTCTGCTGAACAATTCAGACCCGTTGCTTTCACATCAATTCTGAGCGCTTTGCTAATGAGCCAACCTAAACTTTCAATTTGATATACTTCATATCACAGTCAGCCCACGCTGGTCCCAAGAGAACTATGTGAAAAACCTTCAAAAGAAGTGGGAAACGTCCAGTCCCGAAGATGTTTAATACAGTCTCATTTGCCTGAATCTGTGCAGGGATACAGCTGGAAGTAGCATTATTCTGTCTACCTGGTGAATAGTCTCAGTAAGGCATTACTGGCAATAGCCATCTCTAACTTCTTTGGACTCAGACAAAATGCTTATTTGGATCTTAATCTTCTTTTGAGTCTCCCATGGATTTTGCTTTTAAGATTACTCTGACTTCAGCTTCCCATTGAACATTCACAAAGCAATCCAGGCATGTTTTTGCCAAAACCTACTTTGGCACAGTCGCATTTGGTATCTGCATCCAGAAGTCACATATTAACAAGCCTGAAAATTTGCATGTGAAAAGCAGGGTGTTGGTTTTAATTGTGCCCTTTAAGCCTCCCTTCCACGGTATTCAAGACCTTTGTATATTTCTTTGCAGCAGTTCATAAATTGTCCTGCCTTCAGATCTTTTTTCCTGTAAAGCGTTTCCTGAGAGCATTCATCCAGCCGTGACTGCAAGGTGCAGGCTGTGCAGCAAAGCAGACTGTCTCCCAGGCTATGGGCCTCACATCCCCAATACCCCATATCAAAACTCTTTGAGACTCTTGAGACTCCATCCCAAAATTAAGATGTGACAATTCTTTGGAGCAGGAGGGGGGAATTAAGATCACTGCCAGAAGCACTCTAAACCCTGCTGGCTGTCCTGTCCCTGTCCTCAGTAACCTCTGCTTCCTGCCCAAGGTACCTCAATTTCCTGTAGCTGTGTTTACACGAAATAAAGAGGAAACATTTTCTGTTTCTATCTGTTGTTCTAATAAGCCCTGAGCTGTTTATCACGATCGCTGTTGTTACGTTCCCTTCCAGGTGGCAGAGAGCCGTCACGGGGAATGGCCCGCCGCAAGCACCTACGGGTGGAACAAGCCTGTCACCCCAAAAGGTGCCTAGAATGGGGAGGAGCTGTTCAGCCCCTCCTGCATGTCCTCTCCTCCTTGCTTTCTGCTGGAGGAGAGCTTCCCTGAAATAAGACTCTCTCTCTGAGTGCCAAGACGCCACCTGCTTGGAGCCAGCCTCACTTCCTAGGGGAGCCTCCCCAAGCTCAGGGATCTCCAAGGGAGGAGGCAGGTTTTGTAGAGAACGCACACTCATGCGAGGGCCTCACCCCGTAGCCACAAACCAAATCTGTCTCCCAGGCACAGGGCAAGCCTCGCTTCTGGAATTAAGACAATCCCATGGTAACCCTGGCAGCCAGGCAGACATTAGCACTAGCCCTGCTCTGGTCCCCAGGATCCCACAACCCACCCCGAGACTAAAACCAACAATCCCAGGGAAGAAGGTCTCCTCACAGCTGAGATTATCAGCGCTTCCTGCCCCCACCACCACCGCGCATCATGGAAATGTTTGAACGTCACCTCCCACCCAGCAGGCAGGGCAGCGCAGGCAGTCACCGCAGCCATGCAGGAGACATGGGTCCTCTCCAGAGCAGGCAAAACACCAGCCTGCAGCAGCACGGGGCGAGCCCAGGCTGGGGGTGCCAGGTGGCACCACTGCGCGCCCTCGGTGCTGTCCCAGGAATCATCTGGTCACAAGGAATGGGCTCTGCTGCAGCATCAGGCAGGCAGCTTGCTGAACGGGAGGGAGGAAGGAGTTTCCGAAAGGTCCCAGAGTTAGATATGGGCCATGATGCTAAAGCACCAGGGCTGGGGAAGACTCCATCACCCTTCGTGGAAAGAAGGGCTTGATCTCACCACAAGCCCTCACCACCATCAGATGTGATTCACCCGTCCCAGGAGAAGAGTCATTTGCAGAATGCAAATATTTATGAATCACCTGTGTGCCCTGCTGTCTCCAGGACTGTTTTGGAAGTATCACACCACCCAGTCACAGTGCCACATTGCCCTGGCAGATGAGCGTGATAACACCACAGACCACAGGTCCTCCTGGCAGCACTGCATGACAGGGCCAAGTAGTTCAGGCAGGACAGAGACACTGGCTTATCTCGAGGGTTAGTGGTGCATGTGCGATGGTGCTGGAGACTGGAACTGCCCTCCCTGCAGATGAGACCTGTGTGCAGCATTCCTCTTGCCACCAAAGATTTTTTTTCATCTGGAAAAACCTTGGCTTCATTCAGTGTGGAGACCCCTGTCAATGCTCCTCAAAATCCTAATTCTCCCTCAGGCCCTTGGGTTTGGATACTTGTTCGGGCTCCCTCCTTGATTGCAGGGTTAATGTGCGTGGCCATGCCTTTTACCCTCTCTGTTACCCATCAGTTGAAAATGCCCCTGTAAGATGACCTTGCCCACGAACTGCAAAGAGTCAGCTCAGTGTAGTGTCCTCAGGATACCAGGCTCTGAGACAAAGGACACTATTTTTGTGAATCTAAGGCAACTGCATCCCCAGGCTGCAGCTTCTGGTGCATCCCACACACCTGCATGTGGGAATCACAGCACCTGCATGAGCTCTCTGACCATCCAGGCTGATCTTGAAGGCCTTCTATGTAATTCCTCCCTTCTCTGTGGTCAGCCCCCACGCCCTACCTCTCACAGTTTCCCCTTGCTGGCAAGGAGTTCAGGGCATTTCCCACTCCCCAGCATTTGCCACAGCCCCACACGTCATAACCCCAAACACATCTCCTGGCTACTCACCCATGTCACTCTTCCTCCAGGCCTTGCAGACACAGCCATTGGCGTGTTCACACTCCTCAGCTGCCAGGTCCCACCTGTGCAGGCAAAGCAAAACTCTTTGGTAAAGTAGAAGGACACTAAAACCTTGCTTACAAGATAAGTGAAGTATTTTTACAGACCACCTTTCCACTACTGTATTGTAGCCACCTTTGGGTGGGATAAACAGCCCATACAATATTAGTTTCTCTGCCTCATCCTTTCTCCATCAGCAGTGCTTCTTTTAGGGCATTTGCAACTATCTGCATGTGCTTCCTTCCACAGCACAAGGAAGGCTGGAACGCACTGGATGAAACTCTTCCAGGCACAAGAAGCTGTTCCTTCCTGCATTTTCTTTCTCCACCTCCAGTCATATACCCTCCTTTACCTGGGCATACAGCTATCCACCATAAAAGCTGCATGGAGAGAAGATGCCTCCAGAGATGTTGCATCTGCTTTAGATACCGTAGTAAGTGAAAATTAGTTCACTTTTGGACATTCATCCACATACACGCATGAACAATTGGCTGCAACCTGCCAGCATTCATAATTTAGGCTATTTTTCACCTACTGCAGGTACTGCATCTCCAGTCAAGCTCCCACTCCCTGCTCATCTCAATGCCAGCTACTTATTCCAGTATCTTATTATAAGTGAGCATCTCCTCCAGAGGGAACTTCAAAATAAAGTACATTCTGGACTTAAGTTCATGCAAACATTAACAAAGGTGAAGGGGAAAAACAAACAATAAAAAAAAACACACACACAAAAAGGATAAGAAAAATATGAGTCATCACAGATTGCTGAGAGGGCTTCAGTGACACATGCAGAGGTGCACATACAGCCCATGATGCCACCATACATCAAAGCACACTAAATGCTGACAAGCAACATATAAATCATCAAACAGGATAACAATAAGAATCATGCGTCACCTGAAAAGGCATTGAAAAAAAAAGCAACCAGAAATAAAGAGCAAAGAAAAATACAATGCAGAGTGCAAACCCCAGCTACAGATTTCAGCTGCCAGCAAACACTGCGTGGGAAAATGCTGCCTGAAGATCAAACATGCATTTAAAAAAAAAAAAAAAAAGTACTTCACACTCCGAAGTTTTCTTGTTT